TGTTCCAATATCTCAGGGGTTGCCAGAAACAAGAGGGAGTCAAACTATTCTCCAAAGCACCTGAGGGTAGAACAAGAAGCAACTAATCAAGGAGCGAAGCAACTTAGAACTGAGGAGACATTTCCTGACTGTTAGAACAATTCATCAGTGGAATAGGTTGCCTCCAGAAGTTGTGAATGTCCCAACACTGGAAGTCTTTAAGAAGATGTTGGATAATCATTTGTCTGAAATGGTATAGGATTTCCTGCCTAGTCAGGGGGTTGGACTAGAAGACCTTCAAGGTCCCTTCCAACTCTGCTACTGTATTACTATTGTATATTAAAGAAAGAAGGGGGAAAAACCCAAGAAATAACATTTCCTTTCCATCATCTCTTGCCCATTTTAATATTTCAATTTTTATTTGGTTTTGGCATATCTCCCATACTCCTCTCTTAGATCTTTGTCTCTATCTACCTCTGCATTTTTACTGTTTAGTCTAAGTATTCCTCCCATCTGTATCCCCTTATTGTCAGCCCTGGGAGCCATCTTTTCTTTGGAGCTTCAGGGCTGCCACATTTAGAGCCTGGGAAAGTGGGGGGGGGGATTGCAAGGAGCAGTAGAACATTACCCACAACAACACTCCTTTCTCTGGGAGACAAGGACAACTGTCCTGCACCTGGATGGGAGTGACTGGGGATTGTCTCCGATTAGAGTGAAGAAGTGATTGGGCCATGTGATGGACTTGTGGGTGCAGGGGATGGATCTTTAACTGTCCTTTGGGTGGGGAAAACCCGGAATTCTCAGATTTGGCTTTCCCAGATATGTCAATATGACATCTCTAATAAAATGGAGCTTTGAGGAATTGAAAGCCTTGGAGTCTTCTTTCGTTGGGGATGTTACAGTGGTGGGTTATGACCGGTAGGCCCCGGTACGGGCATATCGGTGCCTGCTGGGAGCACCAGATACCATTCTGGTACAGTGCACTGGAGGGCCCACCCGCTCTCCTTACCTCTATTTGAGGTGACCGGGGCATTTGTGCATGTGCACGTAGTGTACGGAACCTATGCGATGCTCCGCTGAGCAGCTGGAGCGTCGTGGGCGGTGTGTATGCATACGCACACTACACGTGTGCACATGGTGGGTGCCTGGCCCCGTTGCAGTGTACCAGTTGCAACGGGATCCGGAACCCACCACTGGGGTGTTACTTGGAACCCTGACACTAACCCGAATCTTGGCAACTGGCATGTATTTATTGCAGTTGCAGTGACCAAGGTCATGTTACCAGCTGTTGTGATCTTCTGACAAGCAAAGTTAATGGGGATGCCAGATTCACTTAACAATTGTGTTACTAACTTAACAGCTGCAGTGATTCACTTAACAACTGTGGCAAGAAAGTTGCAAAATGAGGCAAAACATTACTTAACTGTCTTGCTTAGCAACAGAAATTTGGGGCTCAATTGCAGTGATAAGTCAAGAATTATTTTTATGTCAACTAGACACCCAAAAGTCTAGTTATGAATTCTGTGTCATGCTGCTTAACACAGGGACCCCCAATCTCTGGGCTGTGAGATTTTTGCAGGAATGGCAGTTGAGCACATGCATGCCCAAACATGAGCAGTGGATAAGCACGTACATGCATGCTCCATTTGTGTGAGCGGAAGGTGCACATGCATGCCACTTGCGCAAATGGAGCTATGCACACTTGCTGGCTTCTTGAGTGGAACCATCCCCTCTCCCCTGTCTCTCCCCGCCAGTCTGCAAGGCCAGAAAGATTGGGGAACTCGCTTAGTAAATGCAATTTGTTTATTTGTATGCTGTCCATACAGACTTGCAGGAACTTACAAAAGGACAGTAATAAAACCATCCACAATAAGAAACATAACAAAAACATTGATAATAAACAATCTAACAGGGTACTTTGGAAACATTTTGTCGCTAAGCTTCTAACAGGCAATAGTTATGAAAGTTATGAAACAGAAGGTCTAAGGGTAGAACAGTAGGCCTGAAGCAAAGGACTGACGTCTCCCAGATCCAGGTAGCCACTCTTCCACTATCTCCAAAGGTCAGACACAGATCCAGCCCAGAACTATGAGCACAAGTAAAATAACACCTTTTCCATATTAATCATGTCGACATAATTAATGAGACCCAGATAACCTTGCAACATCACCTGACCCAGAAATAAAATATATACTAAGGTGGGATTTTTTAATCAAGTTCCATGGAACCCAAATATTTCAATGGGATCTGCAGGACTAAAATAATGGGGGGAAATACTCTCAGCAAAAAACAGTTTCCCCTCACCAATTCTTGTAGAAAGGTTTTTCTTCCCCTTAGTCACTAAGTTATACTATATTAGAAGGATGGGGTTTGTATTTAGAAATTACATCACTCTTGATCAGATTCCAAGAATTTTTAAAATAACAAATAGGTTCTGTGTCTGGAAAAGGCTTGAAAACCCCTGTCTTAGCTAATGTCTTTTAGCTTTAAAAAAGGACCCTACTCTGAGTTACCATTTTCAGGGCCAAAGCAAAGAGGTTTTACTCTCTTAATAATCAAGAAAAACTGTACATTAGTTTAATGTTCTGACTACAATTCATGAAAAATTCAAAAATGTAAGCCTTGTATGGATTTCAAAACTCCAAATGATAGCTATAATTTATCCTTACCACTGTTAATGTTTAAGTTATCCATCAGATCAGTTTGAAGCTGTAATTCAACTTCCCCAAGTTTCTTCAGTACAGAATCAATAGAGCTATTATCCCAAACTTTTCGCTGGGGTTCAGCAACATCTAATTTAATAACTTCTCCAAATGTTTGTTCTGTAGGAAAAATTTAACATGTTAGTCAAAATGTATCTTTAAAAAACAATATATGGGAAGATACTGTATTTTGCTTGTACATTCAGTGAAAGTTGAGAGAGCCATCTCTGAATAACTCCACATTGTTTTTCAAATTTTAAATGATCCTTAAAATGAATAAAGTGACAATGTGGTGGCCTGTAAATATACTTCTAATATATCAATTTTATTAAAACAATTTCATTTGTTATAAATTAATATGAGTTATATCCATGGAAACAAATTTTGTTAAAAAAGACTGATTAGTATTAGCTGGCAAAATATTCTATAGAACTTAATAACTATTATTCCATCTTTTAAGATAAATGAGAAATAAAAAGTTTTAATGATATAACAGATGTTATTTTTCACACTAATAAAGTGAACACATTACATGGAGGGGAAAATCAACCTCCAACAATAAAAATGAAAAATATTAATATTTATATCCTCACCATTAGTTTAAAATTATGCATATTTCATCAGCCTCTGCACAAAATTTAAACAGTAAACAAAATACTGAGATGTATTATAAAGATACTTTCTAGTTTGATGCAACAAGTCATTCAACCATATTTTCAGGCAGAGAGCATGTGATTCAGATTCTTTGCCTTAAGGCATGACACTGAACTCTTCTCTTAGCTCCATTATAGTTAAGCACAGAGAAAGATTGAATAGCTGATTCTACAGATAGATTAATAGAAAAAACTGCCAGTTTTCAAGTGAAGAAATGGGTGATTTAACTAGTAAGATATTTAAACTTTATTACAATCATAGATCACTATCAGATGGTATGATTCATGAGTATGCAGTTTTCTTTGGATACTCTAACAACACACAGTGTTGATCTGTTCTTACTTTTTTGTTTTGAAAACTAGTTATGTTCTTAGTAATGCCCTACAGCAAGCTAGAAAATACGTGAGAGTCAGAACAGAGCTCTGCAAAAAATAGGAATCTAGGATAAAGAAACAAATAATTATGAGATTAGGTTAATAGAACCATCAATAGTCTAAATAAAAAATATAATAATGCTTACTTAATTGTATAAAGTTTTTAAAAAATGAACAGGAGGAAAAGAGCCCTAGACTAAGGCAAAAAGTCTGAATCATGTCTTTGCCTTTCTTGGGTGATAGTGGTTCATTGTTGAAAACTGCCTCATGTCTGATATATTATGCATTGCGATTTGCATAATACATCTGGTGAGGTAGACACAATCTCTGTTAAGTATCATTAGGCTACGTGGTAGGATAAATATCTACATGTTACTGCAAAAGCAATTTGAAAACCAAGGCAATTTACCTTCTGTTCGAGAGAAGGATTCTTCCATTGTTAATTGTGCTAGTGGAACTACAAGCTGTGGCCCTGTTTCCCATTTCTTGCGATCAACTGAAACTGGACATATTGCTACTTGTTGGTGATGATTCTCACCAGCCACAGGGATTTCTGAGGTGTCTTCGGGCTCCCTGTTCTCTTTCACATCTTCATGTGCTTTAAGATTTTGATTCAGTCTTCGAAGTATTTCTCGCTTGCTCTAAAAAGCAGAAAAATGTTTACAAAAAAAAAAGTCCTCCAAAAGGACAAATTATTATTAATCTTTCCATAAGTCATTTATAAAACAAGTTTCTTCTTGAAAATTGGTGTTTGATGGGGAATTGGAATGGAGTGATATCCCCAGAACTGACAGACTCTCTGAGAAAAATATTAAAATAGCTCAAACCAAATTACCATTTTTTTCCTTTGATTTGATAGAAATGTAGAGCTAGTTGATAAATAAATACAGAAAAATTATAATTTAAGTTAGAGAGTATACCTACTTTACTAAAAGATATGGATTCTTGTCAAAAATTGACATGATTTGGTTTTTCAAAAAACTTAGTTGTTCAGGATTTTAAAGCAATGATACTATGAAAGACTTTTTCATATCATTATCATGTAAGTTTGGTATATAAAATAACATCTAATTCTTTAGATGGAAACTAAATGAAATGTTGCTATAAAAAAAGCAATAGATGTGGTTTGTAAAAAGAAGAAACAATTTAGAATTTTAAGAATGTTAGATTTAAGAATGGTTTGGGATACAAGCAAACCTTTTATTAGATATTTATATAACATAATAGTGATTTTTTTAAAAAAATGTTGAAGTATAGGAACAAAACAAAGTCCATATAATTAAACTTACATGTATAGAAAGATCAGGTTTAATATCCTCTTCCTGGACAAGTACTGCATTTTCATCCTACAAATCCAGATTGAAAATATATATCAAATACATTAAGTGATAGCCATGAGACTGGAAAAGATAATGTTTGTCATTTCATTCATATATGTGTTTATTTCATGTGTGATATCAATGCTACTCATTTGTATATATATATATATATATATATATATATATATATATATATATATATATATATAC